CCTTAAGTAGTGGTACTATTTTGATCCTCTCTTCTGATTGTGCTTGCTCTTTTTCTTAGTAGTACTATTATGTGTGATAAAAATACAACCATATTATGAGAAGATGATTATAGCCTCTTCCCAAATGCTTGGGATGAGGCATGTCAGGTTGAGTCATGAACATACTTGTTCCCTCTAAATGCTTTTATCCCATGTTTTTTGTTACGGGGGTTACTATTTTACCATGATATGTCTTGTTTGTTTATTTCTTTTGTTGTATTATGCTCTGTTTGTTATAGCATGTTCGAAGGCGGCAATCGGCAGTTGGTCAGATAGAACTTGGCATACATCACAAAGACTTAGAGGAGGTGGACTGATAAAGGCATGTATTTGATGTTGGCTACAGTCACATACTGTATTCCTTTTGTGTTGGTCATTCTTTAGCCACATGTCATCCTTTGTGTTTACTATGCTAAATGAAATTTTGAAAGCATTATTTTGGCTAATGGAACTTACACCATCCCTTTATTTGCAAGCTTGTGTCAACAGGAATGTATGTTGTCAAAAGAATATATTGGTGATTGTTTCATTTTTAGCATTTAGTTGATATAAAATATTAAGTTTGTCTCGACAATGGACTTTTTCTTATCATAAATTTGGCTTCTACATAGTAATTGTTCAACAGTTATAGGCCAGACATTCATAAGCTATAATAGACTCAAGAGTAATGTTGGTGCACTAAGTAATTTTGTCAATTTTAAGTAATTGTTCAATAGTAAGATTTAACTGACATGTGTTCTTGTTTTTAAATTGCAATGTGGAACATGTAACCTTCCATCATGCACTATTAATATTTGAGACATTTGAAATGTAATTGGCTCTCTCGGCCCATTCGACGAGCCAATTCAAGTAAAACGTGGATTTTCCCCTTGATTGTTTTGTATTGTATATTTTGTCCTCTTAAAAAAATATTTTTCAATGTGTTATACAATTTTTAATTTATTTTTATCAAAATAAATCACGTGTAACGCACGTGTGCACCAACTAGTAACTTAAAATTAGAAAACTAACAAACCAAAACTATGAATCTAAATTCTAGAGAATCAAACCCTAGAATTTGACCCAAAAGATAACCCACAAGGTCATACTATGACTTATTCCAGCAAATCTAGAAATAACAAAAATACTTTGTACCCTAAAAATATATAAAATTAAAAAAAAAAGAAACATAAAAATACCAGCAACCTAACTCAAAATAATTGAAAAATAAGACTCAAATATAGTTATGTAAGGTTCCATGTGAACCTTCGTCTTGGTAGTAAGCCAAATTCCATAGTTTGTCACATCTTTGAGCTTGTATTTACTTGAACATCTTAAATAGAAGAAAAAGAGAAGAAAAGAACCAAGAATTGCTCCTAAGGTTCCTTAGACATCACACATAGGGTTTTGAAATGCATCACACTAATTCTCAAAGCAAAAAATTGTTGAAATTCCAAAAAATATGTCTCGCTCCATTCTATATTAGAAATATCAATAACTCAAAATGGATGCAGTCCAAGATCCATTACAAGCGGAGCCTAGCCCAGGTGCCAAAAGGCCCAAGCCCTTGGGGTAGAGGTGAGCGTTAATAGAGCTTATAACTATGAAATAAAGAGGAGTAATAACAATAAGTATACAACAAGATATTAGCAGCAATAGGCGCATATAGGTTAAAATAAGAATGAAATAGATAAGAAAGTAATAAGATATGAATAGAGTTCCGAGAATTCCTAATCCTAAAAGATTAGGATTCCAAAGGCTCTAAATTACTAACATAAACTATAACAAGGACTCTAAGTTCTACAAACATCTAACACTAGAATTTGACCCAAAAGATGACCCATGGGTCAGACTATAAATTAGAAAAATACCCTTGATGTAAAAAAACAAAAAAAAAAATACTATCAACCTAACTCAAAATAATTGAAAAATAAGACTCAAATATAGTTATGTAAGGTTCCATGAATCTTCATCTTGACAATAAGCCAAATTTAATAGTATGTCACATCCTTGAATTCGGCCGAGTGGAGAGTTTGCCAAGATGAAACTTGTGACAATGGCAAAAATTTGATGGTTTGTTGTTGAATGAGATTTAAGATGACCAGGATTGCCATCAATCAAAACATGGAGAGAGATGAAAATTAGGCTTCAAGTGCAGCATATGCCTTCAAATTACAATGGCAGGTTGTGTAAACAACTTACCAATATACAACAAGGCAACCTATCTCTAGCAGAACATAGATAATTGGAAAAAAAATTAGAAAAAAGAAGAAAATTAGGAATCACTCTTAGGGTCCCTAAGGCATCACACCTAGGGTCTTGAATTGCATCACACAATTCTCAAATCACATAATTGTTTGAAAATTTCTGAAATATCTCTCTCTCCTCTTCATTAAAAATATCACTCACTATATATCTAGAGTTTTGAATCCTAAAAGATTAGGATTTCAAAGACTCCAAAAACTCTAAATAACTCAAATTAGAATAACATTAACTAGAACTAGCACTCTAAATTCTAGAGCATCCAACACTAAAATTTGACCTAATACAACCCATTCCAACAAATCTAGAAATTATAAAAATATCCTTGACCCTAAAAATATAAAGAAATATGTATACACAAAAATGCCAACAACCTAACTCAAAATAATTGAAAAATAAGACTCAAATATAGTTATGTGAGGTTCCATGTGAATCTTCGCCTTGATAGTAAGCCAAATACTATAGTTTGTCATGTCTTTGAGCTTGTATTTCCTTGCTCATTTTATGGGCTGCATTACTAGGACATTTGTTTTTTTCGTTTCACATGCATGATTTGCAAGTAGAAAAAACAGCAATGAATAATTCATACTTTAGAAAGCAAATAAAGTTCACCTCCAACTGAACTTCCCAACCATCATTCATATGCTTAAACTTCATAAACTATTTCTACTACTATGTACTTTCTATAAACTTTGATCAAATAAAGAAGAGCGAAAGAAGAAAGAGAAAATATTATTATTGCTAAATAAGTCTGTAATACTCCTTAACCTAGCATACATAATATAGGACCGTATATAGTAGGGCAACAAAACAATGTAAAATGCCTAAACTACCCAGAATATAAATACTCTAACATCCCCTCTCAAGCTCATAATGTGGTAATATTAAACATAAAGAGTTTGCTAAGAAGAAAACGGAAGTACGCGATGGTGTGAGATTTCATAAAAAAACGATCAGCAAGTAGCCAACGCAACCAAACTATCTCTACTATTGCGAATGTCATAGCATGATACTCAGCTTCAGCAGATGATCGAGCCACAACAGTTTGTTTCTTACTTTTCCACAAAATAAGAGAATCACTAAGGAAGAGATAGAAACCAGTAGTGAACTTGCGATCTATAAAGTCACCCGCCCAGTCCGCATCAAAGTAAGCACAAAGTTCCAGAGACTTAGAGGAAGAAAATAATAAACTCAACAAAAACTCCATGTGTAAGCTCAACAAATTAAGGTCCAAATAGCAATGAAGGGTCCAACAAAAAATCAAAGCCCAACAAAAACTACCAACAACAATGTCCAACAAAACAAAACCTAACAAAAAAAAAGAAAAAAAGTCAAACCAACAGCCCAACAAAAAGAAACTCAAATCAACAAACTCAAAGAATGGGGTTACTCAATAAAAATCACCAGTAACAATGTCCAACAAAATAATGTCCAACAAAACAAAGTCCAACAAAGAAAATAAAAAAAGTCAAACCAACAGCCCCACAGAGAGAAGCCCAAATCAACAAACCGAAAGGATTGGAGTTGCCCAACAAAAATCACCAGCAACAATACCCAACAAAACAAAGTCCAACAAAGGAAAGAAGAAAAGTCAAACTAGCGGTCCAACAAAAAGAAGTTCAAATCAACAAACCCAAAGGATTGGGGTTGCCCAACAAAAACCACCAACAATAATGCCCAACAAAACAAAGTCAAAAGCTCAATAGTCTAAAATAGGTGCAAACTCAAAGTTTTGTTCTCAAACTCAAAACAAGACCCAAAGAGAATACCAACGAAGTCAAAAGCAGAAGCTACAACCAAAAGAAGCAGTCAACGTCAAACAATCCAAAATTCACCACAAATCAGCTTTGCAAATCAAATACCCATAACAAATTGAAGTTTCTTACACAACAATACAATAAAAATGGCACTAAAAATCGAGTTTAGCACTGTTCACAGCATGAACAGTAACTTTGGTACTGTTCACATCGCGTGAACAATATTTTTCGGCACTATTCATCGAGTGAACAGTATTTTCGGCACTATTCACAGCCGATAGAACCACAAAAGTCAGCAACCCACCAATCACTAGCCCTCGAATCACATAACTCAGCACCAAGAACCTTTAGTCGCACTACTTAGGCTTGATATGAAGTAAAGAAGTCAAAGAAAATAGCAAAAAAATTAAATAAATCATCATAGATGATGTTAGCCCTAATCCAAGAATATATTCTTTCTCCAACTAAGTTACTATGGTACTACAATATATTTTTGGATAGAAACCATGCTTTGATACCGTGTAAACTTTGATTAAATAAAGAAGAGTAAAAGAAGAAAGAGAAAATATTATTATTGCTAAACAAGTCTGTAATGCTCCTTAACCTATAATACACAATATAGACCCTTATATAATATGGCAACAAAACAACGTAAAATGCCTAAACTATCCAGAATATAAATACTCTAACACTTTCTACATCTACCACATGACCAAAACTTCATTTACTATACTCTAGGCACCCAGCCTCCAAAGAGCAAACCAACACACTACTAATAAGAATTGGCTCAAAAACTTAGAGTAGTTTCACTTTTAGATACAACTTATAGTAAATGTAAATATACGAGTATCCATATGTAGCCATTAAGAAGGAAGGTAAAAGAATATTTTATTTTATTAATCTAATTTTGGCGGTTGCTGATAGGATTACAATCCTCATCAGATGAACAAGTTAGGCTTATTATCATAAACCCCCATGGAAGTCACAATGAGATGTATAGTAATGGTCATATGCATGCCTTACCATAGAAATTGTGTACACATAGTATCACCATACATTACCAATTAGTAAAGTACAATACAATACAATACATACTTGATAAGCCCTTTGGCTCCATCTGCCATCGAATCGATGCTGCTCCCAAGCATACGCATGTACACCAAAGAACCGATCAGCCCAACACCGTAGCTGAATTCATTAAAAGCACATGAACATCAATTGTTGTGAAGACAGAATAAAGTTAACAAAACTATTTTCAATCATCGAACATTCGGACACCATAGTTAATCTAAGGATAACTCTAAGGCACAGTTTCTTTCTATTTATCAGAGATAGAATCTTATTCGAAAAGAAAAGAACAAAGGGTTGCAGGGACTTCAATGTTAAGAACTCGTAGACTACGAAAAAATTGATTCAAAAGGAGCTGAGAAGACTAGAATCAGCCATCAAAAACAAGAACAATCATTCTTTAAAATCGAAGCATACAGTAATTAACCTCACTGATATTTCTGGAGAATAAGAAACATAGGCTGAGAGCAAACCCACACCACCTATACCCAGAGTGAGGACCTTCAACTTCTTCTTCAACTGCAAGAACAATTCTCAAAGAGGAAAAAATCCATCAGTCTTCAGTTTATGCAAATATAAGACTATCATGAGCAAGTCATGGAGCCCAGCAGTCTGACGAAGCACCTTAAAATACTGCTCTCTTGACTGGGCAGCCAATACTTTAGGGTCCCCTTTGGGCCACCTCATTTCACGAAACATTACATCCTACATGATAGAGAAACTCTCTATTAGTCAGCTGCAGAAGCACTTCTTTCAAAAGCAAGATTCTAAACAATTGAAACGGCCAGCCCAACACAGGACCCAAGGAATTAGCATTCCCAATCAAAGAGACTATTGAACAAAGATGTGCAGGTCCAGAATTGCTAAAAGATGGATATCAAGAACACAGCCTCCACTATGCAAACATATCTTCTACCACAGGGAAAAAAAGACACGAGGACATACACTGCCACCAGTTGCGGCCTTAGTTGCTCTATCCCACTTCTCTTGCTCCCGTCGTGTTGGTGCCGGTCTCCATCTTCGTAACATGGTGGCACTAGCCTACATATCATTTTATTTCTGATGATGACATAAATAAATAAAGTATAAATTGAGAATTAGTTCAAACAAATAATTCAGAAAGAAAGCTAAAAAATATGTCTTACTTGAGATTCCTCGACTTCATGTCCTATTTCAGGTTTTGAAGGCGATGTCAGCTCTTTGCTTAAGTCAACTTCCAAACTAAATGGTCAAATTTCAGGTCTATTAACAAGCAAAGAACTCCAAAAGAATAAGAATCAAAAATAAAATATGAATGTGAATATACCTGTCAAGGCTCAGGACTCTATTTAAGCTAAGGAACCCAGAAGGCTCTTCCTATTGCCATCCACCCATATAATATCATCAATCACATCACAAAAAACTCAGTAACAAACATAAACCATTTTAATATCATCACCATATACCAAGGAAGACATTATCATAATTATCAACTTACACAATGAAGCTATGCTACTTCAATACCCATACTACTTCAGTGCCTAGCACAAAATTGTCAGAATTGTTTTACTACAGCATAAAAGATCCTTTACATCTCGCAAACATGTTAAGCAAGCCACTTGAGTCCAATCACCAATCAATTTGATTGATAGCCAAAATTTGAACCAGAAAGGCAGAAACTACTAAAGCATCCAATTCAAAACTAATTAGCAATCCGTGAAGTGTCCCGACAAGACTAAAGGGTTATTTTATCGATTTGGGACAAGCTATAACGCACCCCACACATGCGAACCACAGTGAGGTATGGAGAGAGAAACAGAAGACTCAGAAGATAAATTCATAGGCATAACTAGTGGACCTATGGCAGACATAAAGGAAAAGCAGCCAAATCCAAGAAATTGAATCTTGCCCGAACCCTCCCAAGCTTAACTATGACAGCATGTTAAAATATAAAATTAAAACTAATCGGCAATGAGCGTCCGGACGACAAGACTGGTACTAATTTTGGTGGTGGCCGTGAGATAAATTCTAACAGAAACCACAACACTTCCAACTAAAAAACCCATTTCAATCGAGGACCATCACCCAATTCACCAAATAATCACGAAATAATTCAACCAAAACGCAGAATTCAAGAAGAAGCATATTTACAGATTCAAAATGAGAAAAATTCGATACGAGAGAAGAAAATAATAATTGATATGGCATTAAGTACCTCAACTGGAGAGATTTGAGGGTCTAAAGAGCCATTGCTCTCCTGAATTAGTCTCTTCATTCTCCCCATGAAGTCTTTGTTCCAAATGAAGTCATCAGAGGAGAGAGGGTCTTCTTCTTCCCCACCCCAGTACTTCCTCAGCTTCGACGTGGTCGGTGGGCCACCATAATCGCCTGGTGCCACACCTGTAGACCATTTCAGGGGCTTCTTGTTAGGCAAGATTATCTTGGTCGGTCTTCGATTTGGTGGTAATAGTGGTGGAGTTGTTGATGAAGTATTTGAGTCCTGGCGTATGGGTGTGGCTGAGGAGGTCACTGACACGCAATAGTTTACGGCTGCCATTGTTGTTTCGTGTGTATGTATGTGTGTTTGGGGGCAAAGGAAAATGAAAACAGAAAATGTCTGTATGTTTACGTGATGGGATGAGGACTGTCTCTACCTTCGGTTGATCTTCCACACACATTTTTGTTTTTTTCTTTTATGTTTTGTAAATGTTGGCCGATCGAGGCGATTTTCACCGCTTAAATCTCTAATCTCGTATTTAATCATCAGCATGCGTTTGAAAGGACGGAATAATAAAAAAATATCAATAATAAAAATATTTATATTCACTTTCAAAAACAAATAACAAATATAAGATAAAGTAAAAAATTTAAACACCAATTATAATGGGGTGAACTGTGGTACTTGTGGTGGCTGGGATAGTAGGTGGCGTTGACTGTGGTGATAGTGACAGTTGTGGATGATAATGGTGATATTAGTGGTGTATTTTTTGTGATAATGATGATAATGACAATCATAGGCAACGGCAATAGTGGTCGATTATAGTGGTTGTGGTGAGGCGACGACGGGTGTTTTTTGGACAACAGTGTGATGAGTTGTGGTAAATAATGGTGGTGATGGTGGTGGTGGTAAGTGTGGTAGGGGGTAGGTAACAGTGGGTGGTGACAGTGGTGGGCGATAACGATTGGTAGTAGTTGGTGATGATAAGTTTCATAGGAAACGGGTGACAATGATTGGTGGCGATGGTGAAAAATGATAGGTGGCGGTGGGTTGTGATAGTAAGGCGGCGATGGGTGGTGGCGAGCAACAATGGTAGTGGTAGATGTTGACGATAAGCGACGGTGATAATTGTAATAAATATAATAAAAAAATAAAAATTGTGATGAGTGGTGGCGGTGGATGACGGTAATAGTAATCGAGGGTGGGTGGCGATTATGGTGGGGCAGAGGTGGCGACAGGAATAGTGGTAGTGATGGGGGTGGGGGTGGGGGTGGAATGACGACAATAGTGGTGACAGTGGCGACATCAATTGTGGTAGTGTTGGTGATGGTGATGGTAGTGGTTGTGGTAGCGGAGGTGGTGGGGGTGGGGGTGGCTGTAGTGGTGGTGGCATCAGCAGCGGGTGGAGGTGGTGGTTGTTACAAGATAAAAATAAATAAATCCGTTGTTCAATGAAATTATTTGATTAAAGTTCACAACTCGTATGAATCGAAAAGGTCTCGAGCACATTCGTTATATTACAAAATTTTACATATAGCCACGATTAATTTTAGAGTTAGTTGACTAGACCAAAGACATGAGTCTGATTACAATCCGGTTATGACATTATGCATGGCGTAAAAAAGGGACTTGTGTGCTGGAAGTTTAAACAAAGGTCAGCTGCCCCCACATGCTAAAATAAGATAAAAGAAAGGGCCAAAAGATCTTTTGCAAAGGGTGAGGGCTGATGGTTATAAAAGAGGCAATTCTTTTAGCAAATAAATGTGCAAAAACCACTAACTAAGAATGGGATACTAATAGAGAAAGTGCTATCTACTGGCATGTTGAAGGAAAGCCAGCTGCCCCTACATGCAAACAAAAAAAACCTCTATAAATGGTCAAATGGAGTGCACAAATTGGGCATCATGGGAAGTAGTTTCGTAGCCCACTAAAGTGGCAGTTTCTAGAAAATCTTCTATAAATACTAGGGAGGAGGAGAAATGTAGAGAGTTTTCAGACGGTTAACAAAGCAAGGGAGCAAAGAAAAAAAAAGGAAGAAGAAAAAAAAGAAGAGATCTAAGGAGGAAAGCGAGAGGAATTTAGACGGTTAAAAAAAAAAGCAAAGGAAGAAGATTTTTTGGCAAAGAGAGAAGAAAGAAGAAAGGAAAAAGAAGAAAATTTTGAAGCTTTTACAACAGGTAAAAAAAGAAGAAGTTTACTTTCTTTCTTGTTTATTTGATCTTGTGAATCATTGATGGCAGCAATTCGGTTTTAAAAAAAAAATCATAGCAATTCGAAGCAATGGCGACGATTTTCTGGTCACTCCAAAGTTGCTGTTTATAGGAGTTTTCAACTTCTATAGTTCAGAATGCGCGCACAAGCTTCAATCGGCAACAACCTAGACCTCTCCTCAAGAAAAGAAAATAAATTCCAAAGCTTTTTGATTTGGCTCAGTGAGGCTTTCTGGTGCCAATTGGCGTCCACAGTGTAAAAAGAAAAGTTGTCGCGCAAATGCTTTGAAAGCTAGAAAAAGAATTGCAGCAAAGTAGCAGATCTAGAGGTCCACCAAAATTCATGGCAGTATTTCAACCTCTTTGGCCGAAGGCCATGTTCTAATGGTATATCAAAATAGCGCCTTTTATTGTAATGGAGTTTCAAACTCCTTCTCACATCCAATTTCTCCTCTTGTTGGGTCTCCAAGGTCTCAACAAATATATATAAAAAAAAGGGGGCAGCAAGGCGTTGATCTTTTCGGAGTTCTTTTAAAAAATAATAATGGAGTTTCTAACACCTTTGAGAGATCGCAACAAGGGTCTTTACATCAACAATTTAAAGGAGTTTCCAACACCTGAAATTCGAAGCAGAACAAAAGGAGAAATTTTGCTTTGGTCTTTCAAAGACCATTTTAAAAAAAATTATGTTTTGATCTTTTAAAGACCATTTTAAGAAAAAATTCTGCTTTGATCTTTCAAAGACCATTTTAAGAAAAAATTTTGTTTTGGTCTTTCAAAGACCACTTTAAAAAAATCCTGCTTTGGTCTTTCAAAGACTAGTTTAGAATATAAAAAATTTCTGTTTTGGTCTTCAAAGACCATTTTTAAAAAAAATTTGTTTTAGTCTTTCAAAGACCATTTTAAAAAAAAAAATTCTACTTTGGTCCTTCATAGACCATTTTAAAGCAGCATGAAGTTTCTAACTCCTAAGAAAATTTATTGAATTTAAGAGCCTTTTGATTTTTCAAAAATTTTCAGATCCTACCCATAGTCAAGTTAAGGAGTTTCTAACTCCTAAAACTTTCCTGAGCACAAAAATGTAAGAATTTTACATTCTTTGAAGTACCCAAGTCCACTGGTTCTTTCGAATGGAGTTTTCAACTCCCCCTTTGACCTCAAGTAACAAATTATGGAGTTTAAAACTTACCAGTGGAAGTCTTGGATTTTTCTTAGACCCATCAAAATTTCATGTAGCTATTCAACGTGCATACAAAAAAAAAAAAATAATTTGCACTTGTTGCTAAAAAAAATTAGGCCTTGTTGTAGATCATTCACAAAGATATAGCTACCCGGTGGAAGTTTCTTTATGGAAGCAACTAAAAAAAATGGTGTGAGAGTCTTGGATTCATTCTTAGCAAAATCAATAGAGAGTTTTATACTCTCAAGTTGGTAAAATAATGTTACATTCCACTTGCTATAAACCTTTGCAAGCCAACAATTAATGGAGTTTTTAACTCCTAAAAAAAATTGGAGTTTCTAACTCCAAAAGAATTCTGGAGTTTTTGTATCCACAAATGTTTGGGATCTTCCTAAAGCAAATGGAAATCACAACAAAGAATCTTTGATTCCTCTAGGCACAAGTTGTCCATTGTTTGCAAGCAGAGTTTTAACTCTTTAAATTCAATTTGGAGTCTTTGACTCCTTTACAGAAGCAATAGTCTAGAGAGAGTTTTCAACTCTTTTTAGATATATTTGGAGTCTTTGGAGTTTTCAACATTTTTTTTTGAAGACAATCACAAATTCAAGTGACGGCCACGTGGAGATACAAGTTTTGAGATTTTTCTTTATGGTCTCTTCTAAGACACAAATTAATACAAAGGAGTTTTTAACTCCCATCAAATCAAAGGATTTTTAAACCCTCTTATAACGTGCAACAACTTAAAATTTTGTGTTATTTCGAAAGCACGTGAAAATCAAAACAAGGAGTCTTTGATCCATTTTTGCAAATGTAACAATAATTTGACAATTTAAATCTCTCACTATTTTTGGAGTTTTAAACTCCTACAAATTAAATAGTGCAAAAATTAAATTAAAGAGTTTCTAACTCTTTACTAATTTTCAGGAGGTTTAAAACTCAACGATCTTTATGAAAAGAGTCTTGGACTCTTAATAGATTTTTGAATTTCAAACTCACATAAAATCAATAATCTTATATGGAATTTAATTCCATCTTAAGTCATAACCTCTGTGAATCTTAAAATTCACTTAAGTTAAAGTTGTTTTAAATAGAACTCAACTCCATTCCAAAGAATAATGGGTCATTCACTCATTTCAAACCAAATCAAATTCAACATCAAATTTTGAGTCATTCACCCATTTCAAACCAAATTAAATGAGTCATTTACTCATTTAAAATCCACTCAAATTCAAAAATTATCTTTCTTTGAACTACGTCAGACTTGATTCTATTTTTTTGGATACGTAGGCAGCTCAACTGCTACCTTGGGCGCAGTCACAATTCCAATTGAATCTCAATTTCAAAAACTCTTATCATTAATTATGTTAGACTTAATTCCATTTATTGGATACATAGGCAGTCCAGCATCTACAATGGACGCAGTCACACTCTCAAATAAATTCCAAATTCTTCCTTCGAACTATGTCCAACTTGATTCCATTTCTGGATACGTAGACAGTCCAGCATCTACACAGTCGCATTCCAAAATAAATTCCAAAATCTCCAAACTACGTAAAACTTGATTCCCTTTCGGATATGTAGGCAGTCTAGTTAAACTAGGGGCACTCGCAATTCCAAATTAACTTCAAATAAATTCCAAATTCTTATTTTTTGAACTAGGTCCGACTCGATTTCATTTTTTTTGGATACATAGGCAGTCTAGCAACTATCCTGGGCACAGTCAAAATTCCAAATCACATTCAATTAAATTCCTAAAACACGAACTACGACTGACTTGATTCTTTTTTGGATACGTAGGCAGTCTAGTTAAACTAGGCGCAGTCATAACTCATCCAGAATCAAGTAGTTCTTAAACCCATATCAATTCAAATGGTCATTTACCCATTTAAAACACAGTGGACATTTTGTCCATTCAAGATCAATGGGTCATCTACCCGTTTATCTTACCC